CTGTGCTGTAAAGCACTTCCAACCATGCTGTGTGTAAATTGCTGTATAATAAATTGATTTGAATCTAAAATTGCAGTCTCTGAAATTTTCGATGAGCTAGCGTTGAAGACCCCTGTGTTTGCAGAATGTTGTTAAACAGGATATAATGTGTTAATTATTGAACTTTAAATTCTGTTTCAAATCCAAGGCAACAACAAACTGGATATTGGTATAATCTCAAATAGGCACATTTTCCAAAACATCTTAAGTATTCCTTTAACTTATGTCACTGGCTTCAGTTTTTGCTTCACCTGAAAACAGTCAAACTGTTAATCATGGATAGTTCTAAATGAATTTTACCTTACAACCCACATGGATTATGAATGTATGTATTTCCATACACCTGACTATGCTATTTCACTGCAGCCAAACCAGCAGTTTCAAAGAGACACCCCACTTCCCACTGCTAATTATAAAGCCAGAGACATTTCTCCTCATTGATTATAATGTTTTTTAAATTGCCCCCTTTGGCATGGTTGAGTCCCAGTAAGTTGTGCTGCTTCCCCACTGCGGTGGTTAGTTTAGCTCTGCTTGGTGACAGGCAGAAGGTACAGTAAGCATGACTAAGTCTGACAAACTTGCTCCCGAGTTGCCTCTTAGGGATGGGAAAGGGTAGGAGTATCACATGGCTGTTGGGGTGATGTGTTGGCAGCCTCGACTGCAGCTCTGCCACCAGATTTCTTCCAACTGTATAAGACACAGTGTCCCTATATATTGTTAATTTTTCTTTGTTATTTCTGACTGTAAACCAATTAAGACAGCTGAAGACATCACCACTGAATTTTGGAAACTATACTAGATATTTGTTTGATTTTGTGGCTTTTTAAGCAGCAAATGATTTGTTAATTTGTCAAGAAAATAATCAGCAGATTAATCAATAATGAAAATAATCATTAGAAGAATAGCCTTAACTATCAAAATAGCTGCAGATTGGTTTCTGTTGTAGATCAACTGATCATATGTTCATTTCAATGGTGTACCACTTTTTTCCCCTTTGGTTCATCTTATTTTGTAGTTTATATTGATGTTGCATTTAAAACATGCAAATTCTAATACATTAAAACAATTTTAATCATCTGTTTGCTTGCCACACTGTGACATTTTTTTTCAGTAGCATCCATCCATACTTCTGCCCCTACCACTGTCAAAATATACTGAAAGATGGATGTGATGTCTCACCATCTCTCCCTGCTGTTCTGCTCCTCATCTAACATCATAACCCCTCTTGTAGAGCTGCTCTTGTCAGAAATGGCATTAGTGTTGACGGTTGGGTCCCATGACGGTTACAGAGACTGTAAGGTGGTCACAGGAGCAGCTGACACGCCTCTGCCAGTGCAACCGTTGAAGCAACTATTGTCACTCTCCCCTCAAAAGACTCCATCTCAAAAAAAAAAAAAAAATCTTGCAACCCCCTCACCCAGCACCTCCATCAAGACCCTCACCCCAACTCACCCGCAACAGGCCCTGATACCCAAATGCTATTACAAGTTCCAGTGTTGCCTAGCAACTGGCTGGCGGATTACAGTTGGGGTTGTGCGCGGTGCAGATTTAACACCATTTATGGGGTTGTCAGCGTGCGCGTGTGTGTGAATGCATTTTTGTGTGTATAGAGGCAGAGGGAACTAGTGTCTGACTGAATGACTGAAATTAGTGTGTGGATGTGTCACCAGTGCCTGTTTCCCCTGCGGCTTCCAGGCAGTTACTGTACAGTGGCCTGACAGTGGTGGTAGCAACATGGATCAGCTTATACATTTATAGATTTACAGCTTGGTTTAACTACTTCTGGCAGGGCAGGCTGATTTCATGATTATGGAGCCTTTTGGGCAAAATTTTTACTGACTTTCTTGCTGAGACAACCAAAGGTAACAAAATCTACCTCTAAAGCTCACCAGTTAACAGTTTCATCTTACTTGTCTGAGCCGTACAAAATCCAAGACAAATCCAACGGGCCGCTGGTTGTGGGTCCATATTAAGCACACCAACATAAGAGTGGTATCATCTAAATCTAAGGAAAGAAGTGAGCCACTGAATAATTCACCAGAGCTTTCTTATTGTGTTTTGTAATACCACTAAACGTTCGTTTTCTTCTGTACATTGTTGGATTTCGTTACCTTCATAACAACGTTTTCCTTTTAAAGTGTTAACGATTCCTTTCAGAAGCTTTTGTTACATTTTTTAAAATCCTATTGTCATCCGGATGACAATGAAAACATTAAATGCACTGATGACATCTGTGACAGCAGCAGGGCTGAAATAAGCCTGACCAAAACCAATGGATGACCTACCTGGCTGTCCACCTAACTTACTTATACGTACACATTCTGCCCTTGCACTCACTGTGTGAGCCAAGAGCCTGCCACAAGGCCGGGCAGACAGATGTTACTGCTCTGTTTTTATGGCTAAAGCTAGCGAGTTATGGGAGAGAAGGTACCCACAGCAGCTTTCTTTCACAAACAAAGACCATATTTGAGAAAGTTACATTGGTGTGGCTTTTGAACGATGGTGACAAGTGAGAGAACAAAAGGGACTGAAACTATATGTCTGCTAATTATCTGGTACATGTCTGGTAATTATCAGGTTTGTTTTGGAGGGATTTGTCATTTTCCTGAAATCAGCAGTAGTGGGCAGTGTGTGTTGTTTTTTGGAGAACTTGCTTTGGAGAGAAATCAGAACGAAAGGGCGAGATTTCTATGGTTGGCTACTTTCTAAATCAAACTTCCTCTTGCTGGTTTTCCGGGAATGGGTGCAAATTGGCCGGGATGCTGATTCTATTATTTGGGAGGTTTGCACATGTTGTGTTTATGAGAAT